CTGTATAAAAACAATGTGCTAATTTCAATCATGGCCAATAATTATGGTTATACTTGTTGGTAAAAAACTCTTAGGATTTGGATTTATTTATAAATAAACCAAATAAGATAGCATAATATAACAAAATTCCAAATTTTATCTCAAATTTCAAAATTTAACCTAATTTTGAATTAACAATAATGATATAACTTATGTACTTACGAAGAAGTAATTTTGATTAGAAAATCATTTACACGGTGTCTTTGAAGAATTAGCAAAACTAAAAGCATTTATTATCCGATAATTCTGTTTAAAACATTTTTAACATTCCTCATCTTTAATAAACATTTACGCGTTTTATCAAAAATTTCAAAATAAACTTTATAAATTGCAAATATAGCTTTTGGCTTGCATCGCTCCAAGAAATGCGATGATCTCTCTTGTTAAGAGTGGATGATGTGAAAAATTTGGAATTACATGACAGAATAAAATTTAAGAGCATAACATTCATAATCACAAATGAAAATTAAAAATAAGTATGGTTTCAGTAGTATGTAAATCAGAAGAAAAATTTAGCCAAAGCATTACGAAGGCCCCTAACGCTACCTCCCTATAATAAAATCAACCAAGAAAAATAAACAAAATGAACATCTAGCATCTAACACAATATTTACGCGGCGTGATATCTGATATGCAAACGGATGACGGATAGCGCAAATTTAGACTATTCTAGAATGGTACTGTACATACGTAGTATGTCGTTAGAAGCTGCTAATACTGGAATGGATAATTCCTTCCTATTTCAATTTCGATACATTAGATTTATTAGCCCGATGAAACAAACAAACGAAACTTATCTAACTAACCCTAATTCTAATTAGATCACATGGGTGCTCAGTTCTATTGCTATTGCTGTTTCGTACAACAAAAATGTTTATCCTATTATTCCACCTTTATTTGGAGTCGGCTAAAGCGGAGTTAATTCAATATATGATTTACATATTGCATAAATCGTATATATAAATAATAACCTAAATGAATCAAAAAGTAACCCTAACCCTAATTAAATCTCGCACCGCTTTAGCCTCCCTCCTTTATTTGAATAAATTAATGTTTATCATTGAACCTTTATTTCAAATTAAATGTTTATCATTGAACCTTTATTTCAAATTAAATGTTTATCATTGAAATATAATTATAAATATAGGGTTTAATCATTATAATTTGATTTTTAAAAATATCATCCATAATGAGTCTTAATAATGTACCAGATCCGACACATGATGAATTATCGAAAATTGGATTAGCTTTGCAAAAACTCTGGGAATTGGATCGAAATAGATTAGAACCTGGTGTTGATGTATGCATTTACTATAGTTTTTTTTTTTTTTTATAATCAAATTTAAATTTTATTCTAAATTCTTATGGAATTTAATTAAAAAAATATTTATTTTAATTTTGAATAAATTCTTGAATAATTTTTGTTTAATTCGTGATCTGCATACTATCCAGCGGGTGGATATTAAAAATCATGAATATGGCACTGTTCATGAAATAGACGGTTTTTTTACTAAGTTAACTTTTTCTTGGGCTTCTAACAAAAATTGTAGCGCGATCTTTCCGGTTTTAACAGTGCCAAAATCGCTAAAATTGGCCCACTGGATCGCAAAAAATAAGCTTTGAATCTTTGCGATTTTACGGATTTCTTTGCAGATCTGCAAAGAAAAAACGATCCCGAACATTAAAGTGCTGATTTCTTTTGATCCACTGGGCCAATTTTAGCAATTTTAGCACAGTTAGGACCGGAAAGACTGCCTCTAAAGTTTTTGTTAAGAGGTTCGCTTAATAAAAAAAAAAAGCAGTCGATTTCATGAACAGTGTCAGATTCCTGTTTCCTCTCCTTTTTTTTTATACTTTTTCACTGGTTCATATACGTATCACGAATTAAAAGTTTCAAAAAAATATTTCATTAAAAAAAAATTTGATGCGTTTCTACTGACTCACTCACATATATTGAAAATTTTTAGTATACTCTCAATGCGTTTGTTTCACATGGAAAAGGTAATTAATTCTTGTCGCGACTGAAGCTGAAAATTAGAGGTCTCGATTTGAAACTATAAACCCTGCTAAAATCCGACTATACTCTTTTATTATCAACCCTAATCCTAATCTAACTACTATAAAAAAAAAAATGAATCCAAAAATTTTTGAAAATTTCATATTTCAGCCGTGACAATTTTTAATTTCAGTCTGTCAGTTTGATTAGTTAACAATTTTTTTATAAAAAAATAGAACATCATGCGTCAAAACCTTTATTTAACCATGTGGATAGGAAAGTTAATAATATACCAACTTATAAATTTTTTTACGCGCTACTTGATAATTACATTCCTCAAACTGGAATTCCTGAAGTTGTTGATGATCATGAATTAAAAGAGAATATTCGATTTATAAAGGCATGTTTAGAAACTGGTCCAATGCTTTATGCATTTAAGGTATTTTTATTATTATTTTCTTGATGCTTTACTACAATACATTATTGTTAGGTTTATTTTTAATTAAATTTTTTAAAAGTATCTCAAATCGAAAGGGGCTGTGAAAGGAACTATCGAAGATTTTGAAAAAGAACTTCATAAAATATGGTTTCATATGTACAGAAGAGAAGGGTATGGTGAAGATTCTAGGTAAATCTAATGATAATTGGTTATAGTTCAATTAGTGATGAAATGTTAATTAATATTAACCCTAAATTTAAAGCGCTTTTGAGCATGTTTTTTTGGGTGAGGTTAGAAACGGTGAAGCAAAAGGTATGACAAGTATAATTTTTTTCATATGGCCTAGGATCGGTCCGGTCCGTCGACCCTAAAAAACGGTCTTTTAGTATATATATTGTTTTATTAAAACGTAACTATGGTATTTTACACCTACACACAAAATTATTCAAATACTGGCTAATTAATTGGTTAATGGAATTTGAAGCTTTAATTAAAAATATTCTATGCAATTACCCGACGTGAAAAAATTTGACTAAAAAATTTTAAAGAAAAAAATCATAGGATAGGTGCAAAATACCATAGGCGCTTTTATAATAATGATATATATACTTTTAATTAACCACAATATTCAATAATGAAGAGCATGCTAAAGAAAATTATTTTTGCTACATAATCTGTTATTATCGCTATTTCATTGATCCTGAAAAGGACCGAGGACCGAAAAAGCATTCGATCCCAGTTCAAAAACAATCTAATATTACCATTATGATTTACATCAACTTTCTGATCTTTCATTATTATTTTTAGCATTTCATAATTGGATTACATTTTACTTCTATGAAAAAGTTGGTAGAATGTCTTTTGAATCTCTTATCCCGTTAAAGGAAGGACATCATAAACACGTTAATGTAAGCAATTTACGAATCCCATTCGGTTACAATATATAATATTAATCTCATACAACATTTATATTAAATAGCCTAGTGGAAATGAACACGTAATCCTCTTACGATTCTCTTTCGAAGGTGCTAAAAAACCTTTCTCCACATCATTCATCGGTACTTCGCCTGAATTTGAATTAGCAATGTATACCATGCTTTTTCTGCTTAATCATTCAAATACTCATGTAGTATTGGATGATGCCAATTTGAATATTAAAATTTATCCTTTCAATCAAAATAATATTAAATTTATTGGTTCGGCATTTCCAATGCTTATTGAACCAACCAATTAGCGAATTTATTTATTTATTATTTTATCGTTATTTATTATTTTATTTAGTTTACACATTTTTTTATCATACATGTATAAATTTTCATATATATCTGTTTCAATTTGGTTCTCTTTATGATATTTAATAAAAACTGTGATTGACCTTGTCATTCTTTACATTATTTAGGGGGTCGCTAAAGCCAGACAGTTTTTTTTTTCAGAATTAAAAATTTTGTAAAATAATACACTGATAGCTAACTTTCACAGTTTTATCTCGATAAATTTAATGATTTAAAAGTGAAAATAAAAAATCGCAAATTTCAAATGTTAATCTACATGTTTTCTGGGGATGTTATCTGGTCCGGTCTTGAACCAATGGACCGTAGTCTGTCATAGGACAAGTCTTAAGACCAGAACTGGACCAGACTGAACCAGACCGAACTGTTAAACATATACAACAGTTCGGAACACTAGTTTGGGATCGAGAAAAATAAACTGAAATTACTCAAAATTTTATTAAACAAAATATAATCATTTCAATTACTAAAATATGGACAGCTTGGACAAGCTTTGGACATGCCAAAACGTACAACACTACCGGTAGGTAATACAAGGTTATTAAATTATGTTTCTAACTATTAAACGAAATAACTAATCGAAAAACATTATTCTTCTTTGAAGTAAAAGTTTCGAACTTCACGTGAGCAAGTTATATTATCAGTTATCGTAGAGAGTATCGGGTGTAACGAGAAATTTAATCTTTTACTGAACGCAGAAAGCATCGTCCCGCACGTGGGTCAAGGATTGCTCAATTTAGAATTGATCAAATTGACCAATTAAAAAGAACATTTCATTTATTATCGTTATCACATTATCATCTTTTACTTTCTCTCTTCTAAACTCAATTTAATAAACTAAAAATGGCTTCAATTGTTGATAAGATAAAAGAAAGTTGGGCATCAATACTTTGCACTCCTCTTTTTCGAGCTTTAATTTTAGACTATTTGACGAGCTTGGATCAACGCTAATGACGCTTTTTTACATCCTGTTAGTTGAGGCCGAAATGGCTCGTACGCAAAAGAACAAGGCTACCTCCTACCATTTAGGAACCTTAAAAGCTAAATTGGCAAAATTGCGTAAAGAATTAATGACTCCCTCTGGCGGAAGTGGTGGTGGCAGTGGTGGTATGTATCTGTCTGAGATCTGTTAGTCCTCCTATTTTTATGATTTTCATAATCTTCATGATCTAAATTATTCTTTATTCAGTT